TACGACAGTCCAAAAGGAAAAGATACGACATATGTACACCCGAAGGTGACCCTACAATGGTGAGTGTCTGTCAGAAATGCCGGGACGCCCTCTGGGATAAACCACCGAACTTGCTAGACCACTAGAACCTGGAGGGGCGAAAAACAAAAGCGTGAGTGGGCAAAAACAAAGCTCTTTGAAAACTCTTTAGTAAAATACATTCTAACCCCTCGCCGTAAAACCTGTATACTTCCCAGAAAATGAACATATATACGTATGTATAGATATGTCAATCATGCTCCATGACATGCCATTCATGCTCCATACTATGCCATTCTGAAACTCATAATCAAATATAAATGCTCAAACGTAAATCACATCAATATCATATAATCTAGCAGCCGGGAGTCACCTAACGTGACCTGTACGGCTGTAGATAGAGCTCCACGCTCAACTCAATCACTGAATCTGCACACGAGTCGGAACCACCTAACGTGGTCTGTACGACAAGACTGGGTGTAATATATATACGCTCTAGTGCTACGATCACGTGAAGACTATGCGAAGAATCGCGGTCACCTACGAGTCGGAACCACCTAATGTGGTCTGTACGACAAGGCTTGCACCTAACTTGGATCCAAGACGAGCGTGTGGTGCGGGTGAACATCACGTGAAGGACTATGCCCTGGCCCTGGGCGGGAGCACTAACACCGGGGTGCAGATTATGAGCTCTCTAAGCATTTCAAACTACTATTGCATAATAAACAGGAATGCATAATAACGTGAACACCGCTTACCTGGCACTCACCTGTGCGTCCACAGCACCAAATACACAAATATGAATGTATGTCACTACCAATGCATGTAATAATGCATAAGTGATAATAATATAGTGCATGGCATAAATCAAATAACATTTTCTATTTAATTTCTGGGAATTAATATGTATATAGGTATGTACGGAAAACAAAAGCCCACTCACTGGTAATTAGAAGGGTCGTAGCCCCCCTGCCTTGAGTATGAACGTTCGTCCTCGGGAAACGAATCACCTATACGCAACAAAGTTACGAAAACATTAATTTAAAAGCACCTAAGCAACTTCTCGTAATAACTTCTCATACATTGCTCAAATTGGACAATTGAATATACCAATGTGATCTACACAACCTCAGGATCACACCCATATTTTTAAAATAATTTTTGGACCACGCACGCGCCCCCACGCGCCTGAACAGTCACTGACCCACGCGCCCCCACGCGCAGTCACGTGCACTGCACACTGACGGCGTCAACTGACGCCGTCAGGAATATTCCGTTAACCTGACGGAATATTCCCTAACTGACGCCGTCACTGCCGTTAGGAATATTCCGTTAAACTTAACGGAATATTCCCCTTCCTTCTCCGGCCAGTCGCCGTCGCCGGCGCCGTCGCCGGCGCCGTCGCCGGAAAACTGGGAAAATTTCAAACCTTGTTTTCTCCTTCGTTTCTCAACCATTTTTCACGATTCAAAAGCCAAAATGAAGCTTAGGACTAGTAGAATCACGATAGACTAGTTTCAAGGCCTAAAAATTGCTAGATCATACCTGTTTTCAAGGTCAAAACTCGGCCAACTTTCGAACCTAGCCTTCCCGACGTCCAAACTCGTCCAACGAACTACTCCCAAGCTCCTGGGAACCTCACAAACACCACTACAAGCTTAGAATCTCCTAAAACAAGCTAGATTAATCTTGCATGAACAGTGTTCAAATCGGACCTCGTCGAAACGACGTGAAAACAACGATATCCTTACCTGAAAATGGCACCACTGGACTCCTCTCAGCCTCACGAGCACGATGGTGGTCTTGATTTCTCGATTGGTGGAGATTTGAGTTGGTTTGTGTGTTTGCAGAAGGGAGAAGAAGAAATGGACTCGGGGGAGAGAGAGAGAGAGAGAGACAGAGTGAGACAAAGAGTGAGGGAATGAGGGAGGGAATCCCGGGAAAGTGAGGGTGAGGTGTGAGTGTGTGTGTGGTCCTACAACACCACACTACACAACACTTAACGTACACAAACAAATTAGGGTAAAATTGTCATTTTAAATGTACGTCTCGTTAGTTTCGGGACGGGATGTTACAACTAGCACTTGATAAATAAATATTTAAAAATTTAAAAAATGTGGGAGAAGTAATTTGAGGTGTGTAAATATAATCTCCCTTGATATAACTAGTCAATATTGACTAGTTATATCAATTTATGCAGTTTTTAAATATGTCGAGTTCAAATTTGACTAATACTTGATAACGAGTCAAGTATCGTTATTTTAACTTAGTTCAATACCACAATTGATGACACACTCCGACAAAAAATCAAGGCGTGTTGGCCGTCACGTGAGGGTGACGATGCCGCACGCCTTGATTTCGATCGAGGTGTGTCAATTGATATAACTAGTCAATATATTGAATTGCATAAATTTGAAATCATTATTTCAATGTATTAATCAAATTTGATATAACTAGTCAATATAAAGATTTCAAATTTGATTAATACTTGATAACGACTTCAATACGTAATCATTATATATTGACTAGTTATATCAATTTATGCAGTTTTTAAATATGCCGAACTAAGCTAAAATAAACTAACCCTAATTTGTTTGTTTTGATTCAATAATTGCAGTAAACTTTTTTTTTTAAGTGTGAATATAGATCAAATATTTCGAATTAGTTTGGATGCTTTTTACAAACGATAAGATACGTACAATGATTGTTTTATAACTATTTGTGAATTCATGCATCTTTTTCGTAATAACTTACAACTTAGTATCAAATTCTCTACGGACATATATATATTTTCCTTATCTATATAAACTGAACTTAAACATATTCCAACTAGTTTGAGAACCAATACCGCTAGACCAACTAATCACTTCCTGTAACAACTTACATATCATGCAAAAGACGAACACTAAGACCAATTGATCATATGCAGCGCAAAAGCTAACTCATTAGCGAGATACGCAAGATAAACGAGTTAGTTGTTGTGTTTTAACTATTTGCATCGGAACATAGCATGCACTATAGCTTTAGACCATTGAATCCTTTAGATTTTTGACCAAACATAAAGAGCAAAAATGATCTAGTCTCCCAACTCACCGATGAATACCATGCTCCAAAACATAATAAAATTTTGCCGGAACCCAAGTCATAAATTTGGGGAATATTAATTCGAATAAGGTAATCTCAACATGGACCCACTAAATCGTCTTCATCGCCAGCTTTCGATTTGGAAAACTGAAGTTCCGATCTGGAATGTGACCTCTACGCACGCTTGCACATGAATGTTAAGAGCAGATGTAACAATTTTCAGTTATATTTTAATATAAAGAGCAAAAATGATTTAGTTCAACTTGACACACAAGACATGTTTGTTGTGTTTGTGTCATTGTGTAAAAATCTTATAATCCAACGGGTCGTATTGGAGCATCCGAATGATCTTAACGGATTTAAAAATCCATGAAGAATACCACTTTTAAAAAAGTCCCCTTAACATTTCTCTTTCCATTAAGCACTACATGCTATAGGTCTACATACCTCATAAATATTACTTTCAAAACACATCATAAAAATATAATACGGATATAATACATGAAACATCGTACGCATAACACGTAAAATATATGTATAATCTTTGTATTATACGCAAATTTACTACCATTTCGTTAATTTAGAATTATCTTCTAATTGTAAATAAAATTATTTATTAATTAAATATGAATTATACATAATAAATAATAACATTATTAATTATATTATTATAAGATTGTATTATACAATAAATATAGAATAAGCGAGACAATACCTAAACCCGAAGATGCTCCATAATCTTTTCGATTGCTCGTTCGAGAACTACGATCTTTGAAGAATTTCCAAATTAATATGAAGGAAGCTTAATCGGAATGATGTGAATCAAAATTTTTCTTCTATGACCGATTGGTATAGATCCGAATCAGTTACTTGACGGATCCTTAACAAGTTGACCGGATAACCCTACCTATTAAGCATTGACCCAAAACCTAATAGTTTCGTGTCATTTCGTGTCGGATTAATAGATTGTATATAAAATTACCAAGACTATTTGTAGTTGAGGTTCGAAAACGAAATATACTAATATAATATCTAACACAAAGACTATAACCTTCGAAAAAGCATTAACTTCCCGCTTACACTAAGAAAGTAGGTCCAACGTTTCAATCAAACTCTAATAACAGAAGGCAAATCTGATTAATATTACAGAAATTCCAGAAGACAAATCATATCCATCGGAATAAAGTCTGCCACTGAAAATTTGAAAGCAACTGCTCTCTTGCAACATTCAACAAACAGCCAACAGGCACCGCAGATTCGGCTCCACAGAAGCATCATAGATAAGAGAATGTCTAAAGATTTGGCCACATCTAAAGTGCCAAAATAAAACCACAGAATGCTAGCTAGGCCCCCTAATTTCCTTTCTGTACGAATATATTCCAGGAGAAGTGATTTTTGCACTCTCGTCTTAGGCTGTTGCCTAAACCGAAAAATAAGTACACACAACCATTACATAGTTTGATTTGATAATTTTGATTGCGAACGGAAACACCACAATAATGTTTAAGGATAAGTTTCCTTCATGTCTAATCCCCTCAAACGAAAATTATTCACTTGTACCCTCAATAATATACGAATTGTCCAATCCAATGCAATCCTAGGCACCAATCAAACCATAATGTACACCATATGAAATGCATTATAAACTGGAACGGCTTCCTTAATTACACTATGAACAAAAGATGACACATTTCACTGAGAAACCGAAGACATTGGAAACGGATACAGATAAAAGAGGGAACGGACACGAAACCAAGGAAAAGGCTCACAATTACGAATTCCGTATCCAATCACTACTTTTGGTTATGATTGGTTAGCTATGTATTGCAACAAAGACAATGCGAAATGTTCCGAGTTTGGAAGCAATGGAAAGTTCATTAATATCCAACAAAGATGAGTTTGGAAGCAATGGAAAGTTCACTAATATCCAACAAAGATGATACAATTGTCTCTACCATTTTCGAAACGAAATTTAGCTCATAATTTCCAGTGCCAAAAATCCAATCCAAACGGAAGATGGTAAAATAAACAGATAAAGATGCTTCAAATTAGTTCATCAAAAAGAAAACTAACATCCCATTAGATTAAGAACTTCCCGGTCCACTGTTTCATCAGCTACGTCTGACCCTCGTGTTCCGATGACTCAATCGTGGAGAGTGCCCAAGATGTCCTCGTCCCTGTATAAATGGAACCTGCAAAACAAACCAACCAACCAAAAACCCAAATATAAATCCCAGAACCCTAACGCAAAAATTTGCAGAAACAGGGCAGAATTGGCACAAAAGACATACGCTTTGTCACCAAGCTTCACCTCAGTGCCTCCATACTCGGGCAAGAGAACGGTATCGCCTTCTTTCACGGCCACCGGAATCAGATTCCCGGCCTTGTCCTTGGCTCCTGGTCCCACAGCTACCACCTTCCCTGAGTTTAGCTGCACCGATTGGACCAATCCCAAGCGTTAAAATTCAGATCAAGATAAAACCCTAAACCCTAAATACATTTAGGCGAAGAAGAAGATGATGTCATAGAATTTACCTTGGTGGAGGACTCGGGGAGAAGAATGCCGGCGGTGGTTTTGGAGGGCGGGATGATTTTCTCGATCAGGACGCGGTTGAGAGTAGGGATCAAACGCCTCGCCATTTGGGTCTCTGAGAACACTGGAGCTATTGCGTTTAGGGTTTGGGGGAAGAGGACGACTGCTGATGGTTTACAATGTGAGGGTTTGGGGAGGAGGGGGACTGCTTGTTGATCAAGTTCTAGGAGATGATGGAAGGTTCTAGGTCTTAGGGTTTTTGGGGTTTTAGGCGTTGGGAGGGTGTGGGCTGTGGGCGTGGGTCTGATAGTGGAGTTTGGGCCTTTGTTTATTGATGTAAACAGTCCAATGCTTAGGTCTTGTTTGGTAATAAAATAGCCCCGTACATTGGCCTCGTTCTGTTGTTTGGGCTTACCTTCATTGAAAATAGCCCAATCCTTTTATGCCTTGTTACTACTTCTGTGTTATTTAGTTTACAAAATTTTCCCTACAAATTTAACCTGGTTAGAAAGGAGAAGAGAGAAGAGGAGAGGGTGACGGAGACGAAAGCTTGCGCTCGTCTTCAAACTCGATTCCAAGTTCAGGTTTTAGGGTCCAAGTTATTTTGGAATTGGTTCAACACTAGTGTTTAATCTGAGTCCTACTTAATCCCACCAAACAACACTTGAAACCCATGTTCCTTTTAATTGGAGAACTATAGTCCAGCCCGACCCACCAAACAAGTCCCTAGATGTTACAAAAACAGAAACCATCAAATTTGTTACAAATCTCTTGTACTTGGTTGTATCAAATTAACCAAGTCTCACCCCTAAACGAAGTGTTCATACGTAGGGATGGGTCGCGTTTGCCCTTCCCATCCTTATCCTGACAAAATCTCATCTCCATTCTCCGCTCCATTCTCCACTGAAAATTCACCATAGAAAACCGGCCCGTTGGGAATCGAATAACAGATAACTGTCAGTAAGTGGAAGCACCGATCATGGTGGCTTTATCGGAAAACAATGTGAGGAACTTTTGAGCTATTCCTTGGAAAAGATACCTCTTTAGGCTTGACAAGCAGCTAAAGTCATGACAACCTCATGACTTGTCCGAGACAGGAATTCCAGTCCACACCCAATGCTCATGCCACTTCGATCTATTTGCAGCAAAAAGTACTTCATGCATGTAAATTTTTCCCACCAGTTATTCGTTTCGTGCCAATATATATATATATATATATGTGTGTGTGTGTGTATGTATGGACCATAAACTTTATGAAATATATATGCAAATATATATGGTTGACATACTTTAGGTCCATAAGCATTCTGCAATCCCACATTGGTCATTGGTCATTGGCCATGCCATCCCATGCACGTGATAGGTTTCTGCGGTTCCCACTAAAAGGAACGGAGCACATATATTTGCTTTTATAGGACCATCCCATTTTCTGATTTTTTTCAGAAAATTGGATCGATACTTGTCATCATTCCGAAGACATGTATCTTTTTTCCTTTCTTTTTTCGCGTGTGGGCTGTGGTGCTTATGATTTTCATGCAGATTCTTAGCTTTATTGATTGTTTTCCAGCCGGTCAGATTATTTGGGATAAGTTGCGTGTACGGTTTGTGTTAATATTGTTCGTAGAGATATGGATGAACCAATCAGCATTGCCCTTAAGTAAATAGAAAGCCGAACCCATCATTGCCACATAGATCTGGACATGAAATATATGCTAGTTTGAAGAAGTTGAGATTCTATGGGAGTAGTCTAACTTCTTATAAACCCTTATATATATGGTTTGGTTTCTCACCGATGTGAGACTTTGTCCTCACATTCTCACATAGTTGCTGCTTAAAATTTAGGGTTTCAAACAGTCAAAGCACTCTAGCAAAGATAGGACCCAACTATATAAACACAACTTCAACACAAGCAAGCAATGTCATTCATAATCTTTCAGAAGCAAATGTAAGTGGAACTTGTTAGATATTGTAATTTTCGTCCTAAACTTAGGTTGCACTTCTGCTCCATTATAACACGACAAAAGAAGAAACGTTATAGGTATCGATGATTTTCACATGAACTTAATTAAAGGAGTCCGAATGCCAATCTTCTATGAACACGGTGCTGATATCAGATTTAAGATTCAGGTTTCCCAGCTGGAGTAGGTTAAATTAGCTAGTACGATCAAAGGTTTAAAGAATTTTGGGTTTACATGGTTTTCTTATCTGTGATTTGTGAAAATTTCCTATTAGGGTTGAGCCGTGGATCCGGATTAACATGCATCGTGCAATATGTAAAGTAATTAACTGTGTCTTTTCGACAAATACGTAATCAAACTAATCATCATCGACATGTAATGATTTGTGAGATCATCAACTTTCAACTGTACGTCTTCCAATATCTTTGGTGATCGCTCATGGTTTCTGAGTTTGACTTTGGTGAATGGTGATCCAACTAAGAGGTTTTTTTAACTTTAATTCTTAAAGAAGATTGAAATTCAAAATAAATCTAATGTTAGATTACATATTGATTATAGCTTCTTGATGTGTCATTAATTCAAAAAAATTAATGTGCATTTTATTTAATGTCTCCTATTAAATATTTAAATTTATTAATGTACAAATTTAAATTTATTTTTTGACCAAAAATAGTTTTTTTTTTTTTTTTAATTTATTAATTTTATTTAACATTCTTCAAACTTGAAAGACTCAATTAATGTACTTAAATGTTAGTACCAAAATGTATTATATTGAACTAATGTATTTAAATATTAGAACCGAAATGTATGTATTAAAATATATGCACCGAAATGTATTATATTAAATTAATGTACCTAAATGTGTGTATTGAAATGTATGCACCAAAATGTTAGTACCGAAATGTATTATATTGAATTAATGTACCTAAATGTTTGTATCGAAATGTATGTACCAAAACGTGTGCACCTAAATATGTGTACCGAAATGTATTATAATGAATTTAATGTACCTAAATGAAGAAAACAAAGTACATTGAAATATATTGTATAACAAAAATTAGTTTATCTAAATGTTTACAACAAAATATATTACGACAAATGAAATGAAAATGAAAATTATAATGAAATAAAGTTAATACATTAAACTTAGGAAGAAAAAGAGAAATAATTAAAAAAATCAAAATGCAATTAATAAATTAAGGTTATTAATGTATCAATGGACTAAAATTATATATATATATAATACACACACACAGACAGAGCAAAATCTAATCTGAAATTCCCTGTTTCCATCAGTTGGTGGAGTTTCTTATGGCTAATATTGCTAGGGTTGGCTGAGAATCTTAATCGAGGGCTGCTTAGAACAAGACCACCGAAAGGCACTGAATAATATGATATGCGAACCATAGATGGTGTGTTTTGATAAACTGAAGCATGATCATTGGAGGACGGGGACTCACTAAAAACGTGGAGTTCACAAACGGGTCCTTTTCATTTATTTTAGGCGTCAATGGTTTGAGTGATGACGTGGAAATCCTTAAATACCGGAATCTGCTTTACCTTTGGCAAAGGGTGAAACCCACTTTGAAAGTGAGTCAAATAAATTAGAAAAATTCCAAGAATCCGAACAGCAAGTGGACGTGCCGGAGTGGTTATCGGGCATGACTAGAAATCATGTGGGCTCTGCCCGCGCAGGTTCGAATCCTGCCGTCCACGTTTTTATTTTCTTTCTTGTTGTTTTTAATTAAATGTTCTTCAAAACGAGATGTTTAGGATTTTATTCCATCCCTTTTAATTCTTATTTGTTCCGAAAGAGGTGATTTGGATGTATACTTCCGCTCATGTTTTGACCATTTATATTGAATCGTTGATATATTCTGCTTTTTTTTTTATACAGCGAATTTCTATATAAATATTATTATATGTCATCGTTATTCATATAAGTCGAATATAACTCTGTCGTTTAAGAGTAGCTTAACTGCAAGTACATGCAAAGTAATAGAAAATGAACAATCTAACTTTGCGGTTGGTGCTGATCAAGAACAATGGAGGGAAGGCCCATGAAAAGCTAAGTAGCTACTTGCAAGCTCATAATTCATCTCCCACTTTATGTCGTACATTGACTTGCCAATTTTGGCCATGATGAAATGTAGTAGGGTTTCAATAATTGAGAGAAAATCCAGCATCATTCTCTGGGTTTAGTGCCGCTTGAATCTCCCATACATATTCGAAAAGTCCCACTTATCTCTTTCAACTAAACCCTAGTTTGCAAAGATGTAATTAGTATTCGGAGGTCAAGCTGCCTTTTTTCTTTTGTTGACAACGGGATATAAACTCTAAACAAAAAGAAAAATTACATAAAAATATCATGACCCCATAACTTGTAATAATTGAAGTTGATTAATTAGAAATTATGCAGTAAATGTTTAGTTCATTTTTCAAGCCACACATAAGTTATAACTGGGGGGTCTGAGCCGAAGATTGCTTCAACCCTAAATTTTGGAATTTTCCTATTTTTGGTTCAGAAATTTATTTGATTGGAGATACTTCGAAAACCTTAACTTTTTGCTCATCATATATTCCAATTACTTTAGACTATGGTTCTGGGGTTTGCTGGATTTCCTGGTATTCTTTGAAAGCAACAAGGTATTTTTTTTGGTAAAAAAAGCAACAAGGTTTTGATCCTTAATTTCTCTAGGGTTTGATTATCTACACGTTTTCCCTGCATCTAGTTCCAAAGTAGGAATACTAATTATTCTGCCTCTGTATCAATAAGATATAGAGGATGATTCCTGAATTGGAATTAGTACCTCGAATTTTAATGGAAAATTCAACAACTTCTAAAGTTGATTGTATATTACTTGAATTCGTAAGTGAATTGCATCCAACCGGAGGAGGATGAATTTTGGTATGTGTTTCTAGAGCCCTACTTTTTTTCTTTTGATAATTGTCCCGTGTTTTAATTAATTTAGAATTTATAATGAGGTAGATTCAACCGCATATATTATTATATAATTATATTTTGGCTCATCTCCATAAATATTCCGACTGGCAAATCCATGCACATTTTTATAAAATGGCAAGTAAATTTTTGTTTTTATTTTTTCTTTTGGAAGGGGTGAATAAAATTCTCAAACCTTTGAGCTTTTGTCTGTTCATACGCAGACGGTGGTTGGCAAGAAAGAGTTATATCGTAAACAAGTAACTTTACGTACGAAGATCTGAAATAAAACAGTATGCATTTCCCTAGCCCCGACCAGAAGTCACATTGTATTGTCCTCATCTCCTTTGGTTTCTTTCGAGCACAAAGTTGGCTCTTGCAGGTCTATGTTTTTAGTGGAAATCTCGTAGCTGTATTTAAACTGTTTACTTATCAAAACAAATAGTTAAACTGTTCGTTTATCTAAATATTCTTACATTCCAAAGTTCAAACAAATATTTGTCTTAAGTTAGTAGAAATCAAATTAAAGGTGACTGATGGAATAAATCTGACAGAAAGTTTGAACTTTTTTGTTGCAGAAGATACGAATATAGAGTTTATGGCATCACACATTGTGGCACGTCATAATTAAACATGTTCTTGATCGCACTTATTTACCATAAATTAAGTTAAAGATAAATAATGTACTGGGGTTTAATCAAATTGATAAGATCATTTTCTTCTTTGCACTCGATTTGAAATCCCACTCCTTTTAGGTTAGGTTAGAAAATCAGTTGGGTTTAGAATCACTCTCCGTGGATTAGGTTAGAAAATCAAACGAGTCAAAAAATTTATGCGAAGACAAATAATTAGAGAATGGTGCTAGGCTGCTAAATCCTGACCAGAACAAGCTACCGACCCAAACCGAATTACAGATAAAGTGATATAATATAATGTGTGTATATCTATATATTTATATTATATACACACAGCAGCACCGACTCTCTTCTTCTCCTCTACACCTTCTGAGAGATTGAAAGTTTGTAACTTGTGCGTTTGTATTGAACATGCCCAGCAGCTGCAACCGTCCACATAAAATTCATACAGTTTGGCCAAGTGTGCACCATTTTTTACACGTCTTCTTCCACCGTGTAATTATTTCTACAAACTGATGATATTCAAGAACACAGAGAATATCCCTCGAATATTACCTGCTGATCGTCTTCTCCACCCAACCGTAAAATTGCATGGCACACTCCTCTATGTAACCTTCTCCAATGTCCATCAATCTTTTTCCCCTCAAAATTAAATCACTACTGCATATATACATACACACACACACACACACACACACACACACACACACACACACACACATATATATGGGTAATGGGCGGTGAGAGGTATTTGTTTTCCCATCATCAGGTCCAGTACTTTTCAGCAATATTTTCCACTTATAAGCTGTCCTTTTATCGTCTCCTTATACCTCTACTTTTTCTTGCAGATTCCTCCCTATATATTTTTCATTGTATTGTTTGACCACCCAATAGCCTAGCTTAGCTTAAATGTACATATATGTGCAGGTATCGAGAGATATCAGATAGAGATAGGTGAGCTGATTAATTAGAGAATTAAACATAATTAGTCTTATCATCAGCAGTAGTTAGCAAAAGTTGTGGGGGCTAGTAGTAGTAATTTGTTTGATAGTGGTTCTTTGGAGAAAGTTGATTGATGGGAGAAGTTTCACATGATAAAATAAAGGACTGCTGCTCTCCCACAAGGGTAAATATCGAGAAGCAGCAGCAGCAGCAGCCCACCATGGACATGCAGCAGCAGCAGCACCGCATGGAAATCCCAATGGGGATGGAGGTGCACAAGGTGGTTCCACCGCCTTACAGAAGCACTTTTCGGAAGCTGCTGGCCAGGCTCAAAGAAACCTTCTTTCCAGATGACCCTCTCTACCAATTCAAAGGTCAGCCACCGAAGAAAAAATGGATTCTTGGAGCGCAGTATGTCTTTCCAATCCTTGAGTGGGGCCCTAATTACAGCTTCAAGCTCCTCAAATCAGACATCATTTCTGGTGTCACCATTGCCAGTTTAGCCATTCCTCAGGTAGTTCAATATTTATTAAAATTTTATCTTTACTTTTACTTTTGATTTCAGCAAACGTGTGTTACGCCAGTTGACGAGGACACAGTGTTAGGCTAGTTCAGGCATAATGTCTTAGGCTCATTAGCCTATAGAGTGTCCTAAGTCAGTTGACAAGATCAATGTCTTAAATCAGTTGGTCACGTCAGAGTGTTAGCTTAGTCGATCAGGTCAGTGTCTTAGGGTGATTGTCCAAAACAATGAGCAAAGACAGTGCATAGATCATCGCTATGTCCAAGTTTGAATCACCCTTCCCGTACATTAGTAATTGAGAGAGACAGAAAATTGCCTTGTCTACATGTGCTCTGCTCTTAATAAAGCTCTGTTTATTTATTTATTTTTTCAGGGAATCAGTTATGCTAAGCTTGCGAATCTACCTCCAATTGTGGGTCTCTGTGAGTAATTTTTTTTTTTTTTTTTTGGTGGTATTTCTTTACGTACTGATATGTATAAATTGAAATTTTTTAATCCCTTTTCTCAATTTTTTATTTCTGTTGCATTTGTTAACTAAATGACTTGGGCGCAAATTCGAGCGTTGTGACATTCTATAATTCATACAGCCAACCTCGCTTAGTGGAATAAGGCTTTGTTTTTGTTGTTGTGCGTTGCATTTGTAATTATTGTAATGGAATTTGTAGATTCAAGCTTCGTTCCTCCTTTGCTGTACGCTGTGCTTGGAAGCTCAAAGGATCTTGCAGTAGGACCTGTTTCCATTGCTTCTCTAATCATGGGATCAATGCTCATGCAAGAAGTATCTCCATCCAAAGATCCAAGCTTGTACCTCCAACTTGCCTTCACCTCAACCTTCTTAAGTGGCATCCTCCAAGCTTCCCTAGGTTTATTAAGGTAATTGGTCCCCCACCTAATTTCGATACAAGCGATATTGAGAAGGGGGAATAAAAAACCCGGAAATTTAGCGTCAGAAGTTGAATGATCTTAACCAACTGAGCTGCTATAATTTTGCTTTTTTGTTTTTAAGAACCCGAAATGATTTAAGATTGATGTGTGCAGGCTTGGATTTATAATCGATTTTATTTCGAAGGCAACTCTTCTTGGTTTCATGGCCGGAGCTGCTGTGATAGTCTCTCTGCAACAGCTTAAGAGCCTCCTTGGAATCGAACATTTCACCAAGAAAATGGCAATCGTCCCTGTTTTGAGCTCCGTTTTTCATGAACGAAAAGAGGTAATTAATTAAACACATAGCAAATTAATAAAACAGTTTGAACAGTGATTACTCTGTTAATACAGTGTTTAGCTTTTCTCAGCTATCATTTAGTAGATAACTATCAACTAAGATATTATTCAAAATCGAAGATAATGTTCCTTTCGGTATATTAATCATATCTTGTTGCCCTAATTTGGGTGCTTTTTCTGTGCAGTGGTCATGGCAAACCATATTAATGGGCGTTTGCTTCCTTGTGTTGCTCCTAATCGCAAGACACGTTGTATGTTTTCCTTTCCACTGTTGTCTTAAAACTTATCTTCGCCTTAGATTTTTCGCTGGCAGTATCATAATTTAATCGAACATTGTCATGTTTGAAACTTTAAATCCGGCATACAATAAATTATTTACTTGCGCATCGCCACGGTGACATGTTCTCAACATGCATGCTAACTCTGTTTAATAACTTCATTCATGACTATTATAACAACAATTTTTCTTCGATGATACGTAGTATTGATGACACGAAAAACGAATGGTTGAAATTAAAAATAAAAAATCTAACGATTGTGGAAATCAAATCTAACGACTAAAACATCGACGTTGAAGCCAACAGATCAAACTTCAAAGTCAATGATGCAATTTTCAAATGTGTTTCATGATCATATTGGATTGGGGTGCGTTATTTTACCACTCCACTATAATTTCAGTTGGCAAAATGGCCACATACCTCTGTAATTTGCAAACAAATAATTCATTAGGATATTACGGTGTCAATGTTTTCTTTACATGTAAGTCCAACTTGAGGAGGAAGAAGAATTGCCAAATTCGATTAATTTAGTAGGATTACTAAGCGTAATGACTTTTAGGATTCATACATTCGACCTAAATAAGACTCTGTTATTGTTAACTAACTTTCATCGCGCTGTGTGCCATGGAACGCAGAGCTTAAAGAAGCCAAAGTTGTTCTGGGTCTCAGCTGGAGCCCCCCTGGTGTCTGTGATCCTCTCCACTGTGATTGTCTTTGCATTCAAAGTCGATCGCCACGGCATCAGTGTGGTAAGTTGTTTGTTTGCTGGGACCAACACTCCACCATCCGTATCCGGACCCACACCATATTCTGAGATGATGATTTTCTTGGGGTTTTCTTTATTGGCAGATTGGAGAATTACAGAAGGGACTGAACCCACCATCATGGAACATGCTGGTTTTTCATGGATCCCACCTTGCACTTGCAATCAAGACCGGGATTGTCACCGGCATTATTGCCCTCACTGTAAGTTGAGTTCTGCAGTTATCGATACTGTGTCAATATTATTAGTGATGATGAAAAATATCGACATGTTATCGATATATTTTTTACAGTATCGATACGTGATTGGTTTGACTGATTGGTTGATTTTGCATCAAATTTATAGGAAGGTATTGCAGTAGGAAGGACTTTTGCTAATATAAGAGAATACAGAGTGGATGGAAACAAGGAGATGATAGCAATTGGGATCATGAACGTTGTTGGCTCCACCACTTCGTGCTATATTACAACAGGTTCACACTCATTGATTACAGATCACATAAATTAATAATATCGAACAAAGAACACTATTCAGACTCTCTCGAGAACAAGTTTACATGGACTTGCTGATACTCGTAAAATTTTATCTTCATCGTGTCAACATATACCGTGTCCAAACTGCAACGTGAGTTGTAAGGCAATGAGGCTTTCGAGAGAGTGTGAATAGCAATCATCTTGCCATTTGCAAAAATTGTAAAATAGAGCGGCTCATAACATGGATCAGGTGAATGAAATGCTGGATGTGTGGCCAAGGATTCAATGGCTACAGATCCAACGACCAAGAATCCCGACGCATGCCACGCTCCGATCCATAGTGGAATTGCCTAGAATCTGACAACAAAGTTTTGATTTTGGTGATGGGTTTCATTTCAGGATCATTCTCAAGATCAGCTGTGAATCACAATGCTGGAGCAAAGACAGCGTTGTCCAACATAGTAATGTCAGTGACAGTCATGGTGACACTGCTGTTTCTGATGCCTCTTTTCCACTACACACCCAATGTAATTCTGGGTGCAATTATAGTCACTGCCGTGGTCGGCCTCATTGATGTCCCAGCTGCTTACCACATTTGGAAGATCGACAAATATGACTTCCTTGTCTTGATCTGTGCTTTCTTGGGAGTCATCTTTATCTCTGTCCAACATGGCCTCGCCATCGCGGTATTTAAACAAACAGTGAACCGTATATTATTTTATTAAGAACCGGTTATTAGAGAAGACACTAAGGAGACTATAAGCCGCATGTAGACCATAGTTTCGTGCGCAGTTATTGTTTGTTTAGTGTTCTTCCGAATAAGTTTGTAGCCAATTCTGTTTGTGTATATTTTCCGATGAAACCCTAATTATAGATAAATTTGACGATATGAACAGGTTGGGATATCAGTTTTCAAGGTTTTGCTGCAAGTGACAAGGCCGAGGACGGTGGTGTTGGGAAACATACCCGGGACGGACGTATTTAGAGACCTGCACCAGTACAAGGAATCAGCAGTGAGTGTGCCTGGTTTCCTAATCATACTCATCGAAGCTTCAATCAACTTTGCCAACACTACTTATCTCAATGAAAGGATTTTGAGATGGATAGAAGAAGAAGATGACGGGAACAAGGTTTCAAACATTAGATTTGTTGTTATAGACATGTCAGGTAAAGCTTGTTAATCTTGAGCATCAATTCTCTCCTCTTTCAAACAGAAACTTATATGGCGGGGATGTCACGACATTCTAAACTAATCACACACTCTAGTGCGTTTTAACTTTCCAACATGGTAGTGCATGGTTGGGGATGTCATTGCATTTCAAACCAATCATGTACTCTCATGCATTTTAACTTTTTTGCATAACAATGCGTGACTAACTTGAAATCTGGACACAGTAACATTCATTTTGCATGAAAGTTCTTCCCGCCAATTGGGTTTCTCAGGCTCCTTTGTGTCCTTTATTTTCAGCTGTGAGCACAATAGACACAACTGGGATCACACTTTTCGCAGATATAAGGAAATCAGTCCGAAAGAAGGGAATTAAGGTAAGTTGGTAGATTTGATGTCTACATATGTTGTTCTTGATTTGGATGTTAGGTGAAATGGACGGTAAATAATGAAATAATTGCAGCTGGTGCTGGTAAATCCACTGGCGGAGGTGATGGACAAATTGCAGAAGGTGAACAATGGAGGCGAAGAGTTCATGCTTTACCTGTCGGTCGGAGAGGCAGTGGCGTCGCTGTCGATGGGAATGAAGAACAATCATGCATCGTCAAATTCAAACACGTACGATGAAGAAATGCAGACGGTTGCCAATGGTGTTCCCTAATTAATCATTAACTAAACCTAATTACTCCCGAGTTAAGCAGCATCGCACGTTCCAAGTTTTGGCTGTTGGCTGTCTTTGGTATCAAGTTCCTAGTTGGTGACCAATAATATTGTCAAGTTAGGTTGTAATTCTGTACCACCATGTAGTTTTAGTGGGTCGTTTTCGTTCATTATAAATAGTTTTCTAATTTGGTCTTTTTCAGCCTCGTATATACCCTTGTTTAATCTTGGTCGTTGCTAACAAAACGTGTGTTACTATCACTTCCTTAAAATTTTCGTTCTAGTTTCCTCCATGACTCATGCATGCACCTTTATTTTATTTTATTTTACATGAATAATATATTACACTAAGATGGCAGAGGGATAAATTGATTGCGGATTTGAAATTTTTGAAATTCAAACCTAAGACCTCTCTCGTACAAGATTAGTGTGAGATATGCATTAACTATATCATAGAGGTAGTGCCCACAAATGGATAATTTCAGCCACAAATAAGTTGGGCTTGAATGGGCCAAGCCCAACTCATCAATGTCCCATTTATCCAATTTTTTATCCCATAACAAGAAGCCCGCAAAGACAAAATTCTCTATCATATTTATGAAAACTTGAACGAAAAGCTCCCGTAATGTTCAACTTAACGAAAAACCATATTTTTACACTAAAAAGTCAATCCTAGTACTATTCACTTTATCCTTTATTTTGTCTTTATCGTTAAAACTTAAAGTTTTCAAACTATTTTCATTAGTTTTCCTCATATGTATCACAACCATGAAGCTGTTTTCTGCAAACTTAAAATCCTTTCAATGCCGAAGGCAACTTGTCAGGATTCTTCTGGAAATATACAGCAATGGCGACCAGGATGATGAGTATGATGACCCATAAGCTCAACACTCCTGCAACCAAACCAAAGAGAAATATGTCTCATTCTTAATGAACTCAACATGTAACGACGTTAAGGGACTTGATACTCGTCCCGCCATACAAACAAAAGAAGTTTAGGCATTTTCGGGTAGAAATAATGGACTCAAAATTTCACAATTCAGAAAGTTCAGCACTGGTGATCCTAATCATCCTGTTACCGTCCTAATGTTGTATGGTTGAAATCAGAATTAGTTATTGTTTTAACTTTGCATTTATTCATACCGAGTTGGTGTTTTAATTTCTAAGTTCCTAGATAGCAAAAAGGATAAAGTGAGTTGGAATTTAGTTGCTTATACCACCAGAGCCATGAACAACCGGAACGGGCTCCAAATATTGGTTAGGTTTTCTTCTACCATGATGATTCTACCAGGTTGTAAATAGCAATTCCACAATTTCGAAGAAAAGTGACGACATGTGATTGAATCATCCAACTAAAAATCATGGTAGGCACTTACCATTTTTCTTCTCCTCCTCAAGTGTGGACACCCTTGCACTTGAATCCATGGATGCCGAAGCCAAAGCTCTGTATTTAAAACCACACACTTTACTAACAGTTCAAGGGGTAGAAGAAACATAAAGTTGAGACGTTCTTTACCTTGAATCATGAGAGAAACTCAATGCAGTTACCAAGCCCATGTGTGCTTTCTTAACCACTTTATGAATCCGCATTCTGGTTGGATTTACCATCACAAGATCTCCACCAGCTGTCCCACTGCATTTTCATCGATCAAATGTGTTAATTTTCTCCTTTAACCAGAAAATCAATGCAAGTACTGTTAAACTGATGATCTCAAACAACATGACATGCAGTCTCATTTGACACATTGCACTATATGAAAAGCATCTCCAAAAATGTTAACGGTAAGCTTCTAATATAAATTTTACCATCCAAGGAGTTTTCCATCAGCTGAAACATCAAAGGCGGAAATAATGTCTCTACTAATGATCTTTGATCCAATCCTCTTCCATGTGGTCGTGTTCCATGTTACAATGCTTCCCGATTTATCTATATTATACAATAGGTACAGATAAAAATAATTAACTCATGCAAAGGTAGAGCGATGGCAGTTATCGAGAAAACAGATGAATTAGTTTTTATCTACCTGCAACATATAAAATACGACTCCCATCTTCAATTACAGAAAATCTGCATCCGCAAAAAAACTCATCCTGCATTTATTATACTCATTGGTTATATTAAAAGAAAAGCATGAGGAACCTCTAATTCATATTTAATGACCAAGTGGTAACAACAGACATGTAGGTTAATGATTCGCAACAATGCAGAGATATAGGTGTCGGAGGCTCGATGTATTTTTAAGTCGGTGTTCAATAAGCATACAACTAAATACAATACATGCACCCATGTCAATCTACAAAGTCGAAGATAATTTCCATCCACATAAAGTTGGAAATCAAATATTTTTATTTAGGAAAGAATTTCAGATATTGTTAACCTTTTGCGCTGGTAGAGAAGCTACAACGGTAGATGAAGTTACATCCCACACCCTACCAGGGCCTCTATCTCCTAAGGAGACGAGAAATTTCCCGTCAGGGCTGCAAGATAACCAAGCCAGATCATCAGCAACGACTTTACAAATAAAAGACATACAAAGTAAGTTTTTCAATGTCGCCAATATTGCCGACCTGAAATCTAATTGCTTCATTGTAGTATGAGCCTTAGCTTCATCGAGAATAATTTCCATGCTAGGCCACTTGAAAACCCTTAACTTGCCATCCTGTGCTGCACCAAAGGAGAGCATTATTATACGGTATGCTATCCAATGTCACGTCTAAAAACAATCCAGAAAATAAAACTGTAAGATACTAATAAATTTCGACAAATGCAATTGAATCCAAAAAATAAAAGGTGAAGGATGGTCCATACCTCGCCTCCAGCAGCAAGCATGGAACCGTCTCTGTCAAACGCCAAAGCTAACTGTTGTCCAACATCTTGCAATTGCTCCAGCATTCTCCCAGACTGCCTCAATGCCAGTTTAGGCACTTCATCCCTTTCTTCCTCCAATTCAAACCATCTGCACAAGAAAATATATATGCTCTTATAGCATCCTACAACTCAAGAACCTGAAGATATAATCATAGAAAAAATAGTAAATCTGAGTTGGGTTTCACTTGTTTCAAGCCAAATGAATTGGTAAATAAAGATAAATCAAATCAGTAAAAGATTGAATCTTGTGCTTTCAGTATGACAGATAGATGGGAAAGTTGAACAAAAAAGACCTGCAACTATCGGGGAAAGAGCAAACAAGGCCGCTACCGGCGGGGTGAACCGCCATTCTATACGGCAAAGCAGAGCCAGTGTTGAGCTTAGCCACCTGAAAAATCAAACACCAAACACCCAATTACACGCAGCCAGGCAAATCTATGCAACACCACACCACACCACATACATGCAAAAACTGGTAGGGTGGGATTGGGGATTGAAGTATTACCGGCTGATTAGAGAGAGAAATGGAGGCGGGATCGAATTGGGCAATAAGGATGGCGTTTGGGACGCCGCTGCGGCCCTCCCCGCCACCGCCGGAGAAAACGACGTGGTTTTGGCTGGAATCGAATTGGGCTAGTTCAGTCTGGGTCTCTGTCTTCTGCGTCTGAGTCTCGGTTTCCCTTTTGTCGTCGCCGGCGTCGTCTTCCTGGTCCAGTCGTTTAGATTTGCCGAGGCCCGGAAGCCAAGCGGCGGCGTAGAAAGGGACGCCGTACTTCTGGTAGTTATTGGGAGTGTCCATTGGCACTTGGGATCTTCGGATCAGATCTTTGTCTGAGAAAAGACGGTCAAACTGAATAATATATAAATAAGCTCCCTTTTTTAAATTTATATTTTCCCAACAAAAAATTATTTAGATTTGATGAAAAAATAAATTAATCCAGAACTTAAATTAGGATATCCTTTTTCAAAAATAGCATTCTTACGTCCTACATTTTGAGATATGAACAAATATTTTTGATAATTTACTTCTGCACATGTGTAAAATTGTTACGTATATAAATGAAGAACTATCGTTACAACTTTCATTTTGAAAGGACTACTCGGAAATGCACATCCGTTATAACCAATATATACATCAACGAGTTGATATCAACTTGACCATCATTTATGGGATTTCAACTCAGAACGTCCTCCTCCAATTTTCACTAATTAATTTCCCATTCGGTAGTCAAATTTGGCTGTGGGTTCAAGACAAAGCGCGAAGGCTCTTTCTTTGCAATCAGAACAAGTCCGTCTGCCAGAGTAAATGGGGCCGCCCATCAATAATCTGGACACAAATTTAGCCACAAAAAGTATGGATGTGTATTCTCCGCCTGTAATTTTCATCTTCATCAGAGTATTCCCGGAGAAAGGATCACTCAATACATTGATTCATTGCGACTTAAACCGATCCTAGTTCCGAAAACCAGGTAAACTGAAACCGTAGTTAGGAAGTTACTGTTCAGACTCGGGTATTCGGCAATTGATTTTAACCCACAAAAGGAGATGGAGGGGCTCTCTGTGGCAGCCGCAGTAAAGATGATATGATCAGTGCGAGACGAAAATCCCTTTCTTGCAACGCAAAACAGAAAACAAAACGACATCATTGACGCTTCCTTTCGTAGAGTGAGTAACCAACGAGCGCAGACATTAAAAATGTCCACAGTACCTGTCACAGAAGCACACGAAAGGATGAGCACAAGTAACACCTATTTATCCAACAGATGGACAAATAGTAGTTCCAGCTGAACTTTGTGTGGAATAAGGTATTGGAAGCACCGTATTGATTGTATGACACCGCTCAAGTCTTCTAATCCTTGACTGCATGTCTTCGATAACTCCTTCAACCGGAGAAACTTCCCTGATTGGTGAGGATTCAGAAGCTGAACTGCTACCCTGTTCATTACACCAACATTAGAAATGCAAAATTATAAGAATTGAGTTTCTCTCGTTGGCTTATGCCATAATTTCTCATTCGCAATGCCTGCCAAGTCCATAAAAGTCAGCACAATTCATGCGGGTTTTTTTCTACCATTTGACATCAGTTGTTACATCAACCGTATTTGTTGTGACAGTTTTCTCAACTAAATTCCAAAATTAAATGGGATGCCATCCATTAACTAGATAGCAAAATACCTGAGATTGAATAAATTCCACAAGTTCCTGCAACCTTGCGGCTTGCTGAGTGTGAATTCCACCTGAGCCTCTTCCCAATGCTGGCAATCTTTCCAGAACTATTTGAAGATAGCTCTACAACAAACAAGCCAACTACCAAGTCAGATGAAATTTAACCAAATATGAAAAAGAAGAAAAGTTTCATCCAGAATTCTGAATTCGAAACCATGCAAGAACAGAAACTTTG